TTGAGTTTGCCATATGCGCATGTCCACCTGTAGATATGGAAGCGAAGTGCGCCGCCTGTGCAGATGCACGTTCAATGTTGAAAATCAGAGCCTGCCCATCCGAGCCCTCTACCACTGCTAAGTCATCTGCGGGCCTCAGACGTTGCTTCACATGAGCAAACATCTTGGGCGCGGACTTCGCTGAGGTAGGGAGCTCCTCTTCGAACTGTTGACGTTTTCGTGTATTGCGCTGTTGCATAGATTCCGCTACTTCTTGTGTGCCTCAATCGTCTATAGAACGAGACAGGAGGAATTTATTCCACTATACGCGTCGCCGTCGAGCAAATTGGTCGTACATTTTGTTGAACCAATGTAGCTTCACTAGTACACTTTCCTATATTTGTGGTGTAAGAAACTAACGCACGATTGCACACTCTTTTACACCAGACCAACAAACTTCAACAGATAGGTCCTGTGGTAACGTCCAGTCCACTTCACTTGCGGCTCGATTGAGACCATCGAAGTCAGTCTTCCAGTAATAGTAGGACGGCTCCGGCGGACGCGGATAGGGCGGCGCAGCTCTAGAGTGGCTAGGACCATCGTGTGATCACTAGCGGCCAGAGGCTCCAGCATCTGAATATCATATACGTGTTACTCGCAACTAGTTACTGTTAGGTCCAAGCACATTGATGCGGAATGTGGTGTAACGCGCGTCGGTTGGCAGACTTGTTGTGCTGTCCCAATCTCAGATATCACCTCCGCAAACTGCGCATCGATTTCACAGTGCCCGGGTAGAAGTTGAACGTCGAACCACAGTATTCGAGGGAAGTTGAAATCTCCCATAAGCAGGAAGCGAGGCCGACTCATGTAGTTTTTGACATACGGTAACCAATGTAGACATCGACTTCGCGGGCTGCGATAAGCTGCACCCACAAACAGTTCGCCCTGTCTTAGACGGATCGAGCACCGGAGCTGCTCGCACAGGCAATCATTTCTTTCGGTATGTATTTACCAGTCTTCCGCACAGGGAGGACCGAATGTATCGCAGCACACCACCGCATTTGTTTGATAGTCTGTCGCACCGGAAGCGCGAATAGCCACTAATCTGGAATTTTTGGGTAGTGACCTTACTATTTAACCAGGTTTTTGGCTAGTCCTAGTACGTCCGGAGTACGGGAGACAACGAAATGATGCATATCATCACGTTTGTTCATTAAACTAAAAACATTTTTGAAGACTATGTGCGGTCCGTCGTAGGAACCTCTGGGCGCGCAATAAGTGTCATCGACCTGTTGCTCCGGGGAACTACCCGAAAATTTAAGACACAGAGGTTACTTTCCCCACTATTGGTACGCCGCTTCAACTCAGTGATAACCGATTTCAGTTTCTCTCGGTCTGATGGATCCATATCTGAACGAATCTGGATCTTCAACCCTTTTAGCCTACCGAGGCTGGAAAGTATCAGCCTCGGACTGGCGTCGTCTGCAAAGGCAACTCGTATGGGCCAAGTATTCCCTTCCTCTCTTTTTCCAAGATGAGTGCTTTGCTTCACACTCATCCCCTGTTCACCCACGTCGAGGAGTCTATCAATCTGGCTCTGTAGAAATTTGCCGTCGGGATTATAACGAGCCTGAGGATTCGTATCCGTTGATTCAGACGCGGGAAATATCGTAAACTTGCGGCGCCACTGGTCGCTGGCAGGGGCTCACTTCTTCTTACTTCGCTACGTTCACCATTCCCCTACCCCGTTTGCGTTATCGCACACCCGGTTGCTAGTGCCCGTAAGACTCAACACAGCCACGCCAACGGGAACTGCAGTAGAGAATGGACATCGTACCAGAGAGTTCACAGTTCGATCTTGTGAGTGGCTGGGTGTCAACCTTGTAAGATGTACACACTGAACCCCTTGCCTTGGAACCCTTTACCTTCCTTGCTTTCTCGCGACGTTTATTGACTTCCTCCTGTTGCATTTCACTCTGGCACTGCTTGTAAAATACTTGGACATAATCATTCTTAATTTCACATATAAGCTTAAGTTGCTCTTTGGTGAGACCAATACAAAAAATCTGCAAATTCACACAACACCAAAAACAAATAACTGCATTCACTCCATGTGCAGCGACTTTGCAGCAAGAACCACAGGGTGTTTGTTTCGTCATTACTACGGTACATAACTAGGACGATTAAAGGTTCGATCTGTGGACGATGATTGTCTATATGAAAGTGATACCAAAAATGTAGGTGGAACGCGACTTTACGATGGATACATTCAGCACCGAAACGATAACCAATTTAATAACCCACACACAACGTACTAAACACAACAACAGGAAACACAAACAGGAAATACTAAGCACAACGTACTAAACGAAGCAATCTGACCTGGCAGTGGAGCTTAAAATATCGGCCGGCGAGCGCTATCCGACAGCTGTTTGTGACGGGATGTTGTTGACAAGGTGTATACGCTTTGACTCGGAATGTTTGCTTAGTGCATTAAGATTTTACGCTAGGTGCTCTTTCTCTTCCTCCTAGTATCTTTCGTTCCGTACACCATTGTGGCTGTATGGCAGCGAAGCATCATGATGAAGCAAGAGCACCGTGTTGGCTCAGACGCTGTCCTGCTATCAATGCACAAAACCTGTTTATCCTTCCGATTGCTTATCGGGAAAATTGTTGACCTCGTGAGCCTTTTACATCGAATTCATAGTGCATCAGTTGATAGACCGTTTGCTTGATTGAAAATGTACTCTTTGTTTTCTTTGTCACCACATTATTTTCCTACCGATTTTGTTATAGTATATCCACAGTGTTAGTGTAAATTACTGAAATTGCTCCCACATGAGTGTATCAAAGCTTATCTTAACTTGTAATGGCTAATGTAATGCTGTTGTTGCTGATGATGGCACCTTTGGGAAACAAAACTGTTTAGCCCACAGTTCGGAATGAAACTTATGCGGTTATCTTGTCAACTTCACTAGGCGGTACCTTGTGTTGTGGAAAACGCATTTACTTGTTTAAATCATATCTGTGGCTTCCGGGCATATTTCTGTCGTATTATTTTACACTCGTAGTTTTTGTCTTTCTTCTCACGTATTTTGTCTTTCGTTATAACGTAGTGAGTAATTGCAACTGGATCCATACAGAGTAAGCGCTTGTGGCAGGTTGTCGTCCGCCCTTCAGTATCCCCAGCAGTGTGAGACGAAGTTGCCCCTTGTTACTTTTCCTCTTTAACTTCGCCGTTGACGAAGTCATGGAAACCACGTTCCCTGGCATTGAGCTACTTCCTGGTGAGCGACTTCTTGACTTGGAGTATGCGGGCGACCTTGCCCTAATCTGTGACAGCTCTCAAACCTGCCGAACAACACTGGACAGAGTAGCTCTGGTTGTCAATCGTTTTGGGCTATGCTTTGCACCCCCCAAAATGCAAAGTCCTTCTCCAGGATTGATAGGGACCCGCTCCTACGCTGACACTTGGTGGTGATCAGCTAGAAGTCCTTTGGAAATTTATCTGCTTAAGCAGCTATATTAGCGCCTGTGGAATAGAGGATGAGGTCATGCATCGTATAGTCAAAGCTCGAGGCGCTTTTGCTAATCTGCGTCACCTGTGGCGTAAGCGTGACATCACTCTCGCTCTGATGAACAGGGTTTACAATGCAGCCGTCTCTTTACTCCTCCTGTACGGTTGTGAAACCTGACCCATCAAGTCGACCATAGCTGACTTCGCAGTTTAGCTCATTCCTTGTGGGGAAACCGCCTGAGCTATAAGCGTGTTCGGTGTCGCGTATTTTCTTGGTGCAGGAAGAGCAAGTGAACCGCTCAGCACCATTATATCATTTGCCAGGCTCCGATGGCTGGGCCAGCACACTGACCCTAGCGACGTGCATTGTTTGCGCGCCGGGGGTATGCATGGGAGAAGAGGTGGGAAGGCCACGCGATGACTTAGTCAAGGGACATGAAGTCCCCCACTTCGAACTTACTTTACTGCGGGTAGCTCCTGCGACAGGATGAGCCGGCTTCATGGATGCCGCGAATCGGAGCTGCCCAAGCGCGGCAGTCGGTGGCAAGCTCCAACCAGATACTGATCCAACGATTCCTCCAGTGACGAGCACCATGCACAACATGGATTCCCAGAAGATGGACATCCGATTTCACTGCATTGAGCCACGTTTTCAATTGCCCACCACGGTGACGACGCCAACCCTGGCAAAACGAGGGTGAAACCACGGCCCTAGTGAAGTTCAATGTCTGGTCTGCGGATGACGTGACCGAACCACTGAAGTCTTCGGCGTTGTGAGCTTCGGAAGACCGTAACAGCGCTTACGGATTTTGTCATTGGTGATACGCTCATGCCACTACGTTTTCAACATAAGGAAACTTCCAGCTTCCGGGTGTCTTCGGATCGCAGCGACCGTGTTTCGCAACCATAAATTAAAGTGGCACGAATGCTTGCTGAGAATACTCGGATCTTTGTTCTCAGCCTCTTTGTTCTCACCTGAACCACCAGTCGTACGCGGGCTAAGTATACCACGAGGACGCCCACCCCTACGCGGATTCAAACCCGCGCCGCAAGATTACTAGACAAGCTCGTTACCTCTAGACTACGGGCCCGCCTAGGTGGCATTGTTACTGTTGTGTTCATGTTACGTGTCCGTTGGGGGCTTGTTTTGCGCCATGGTTTACCATAGCACCAACCGTCTTCTATAGCTACTTACCTCCCATTGCTTAAGCCCCTTCTCACGAAGTACTCATTGGAGCTGACTCCAACTCATACATCGAATCATTGTATGCATTGCTCCGTTTGCCAGTTAAAGAAGTATGCCTCGCTTTTACCCACATTCCACTTTGTACGTTCCCCCAACAGATTTGGGAAAACTTATTCAATGTGATGTCTGCTCAATGGGTACAAAGTCCTTTATTCTCACACATTGCGTAATTGGCTTGCATCACCATTTAGTCGGTTTTATTCGTGCACGAATTACTAGTTCTACATGATCCCCATTGAAACCTCACGCTCTATTTTAGCTGACTGCCTTCACCGAGCGAACGCGGCATACTTCAGTGTCCTCATCTTGTCATGGTTGGTTCTTCTTCCAGAATCCTATGCAACTTATCCCCTATCCCCCAGAATGATCCAACACTGCAAATTCATTTCAAGGGACATCGGGATGCAATTACTTGTGTCGACTTTAACCCCAACGGAAAGCAACTTGGTGAGTCATACTAATTCGTTTTATTCCTTCTAGTCTCTTCATCCATGGACTCATGTCTCATGGTGTGGAACATCAAGCCTCAGACCCGTGCATACAGATTCATCGGTCACACAGATGCCATATTCTGTGTGCGATTCTCTCCCAGCGGTGAACTAATCGTTACTGCTTCGAGAGACAAGACGGTGAAATTGTGGGTCCCGAATATGTAAGTTTCTGCACTATTTTAACTTCTTTTAGCAAAGGTGAATCTATAACGTTCCGAGCACATACTTCTGCCGTCCGATGGGTTGATCTCTCTTCTGACGGCCTCCGTATGTGCACTGCTTCTGGAGATAAATCGGTCAAGGTGCTCTTGTTGTTGAGGTTGAATAAGATTTCCTTTCAGGTTTGGAATCCTCACAGACAGAAGTTCTTGTTTTCACTGAACGAGCACGTCAATTGGGTACGATGCTGTCGGTAGGGTGTGCCTCTCCCACCAATCCATACTTCAGCTTTTCCCCCGATTCACGCCTGATTGTTTCCTGCTCAGATGATAAAACCATCAAGCTTTGGGATTGTGAAAACCAGCGTTGTGTGCACACATTTCATGAAAGCGGTGGTTTCGCATCTCATTTGGATTTCCATCCCAGCGGTAACTGCTTGGCCTCCGGTGGTACCAATTGCTCCGTGAAATTGTGGGACTTGAGAATGAATCGTCTGTTGCAACATTATAATGGTTAGTTTTACATTGGTTTGCAGTTTGGATCGGTTCTCAGCTTATCTGATTCTTCGAAATTATGTGTGGTTTCAATAGCCACCCATTTTATGCGATAGGTTTCATGTGTACCGTGTTGTTAAGCGTTTTACCACATCAGCCCGTACTTTTGCAGTTCAGTTGTGATACATCTATGTTACTCACCAAAATACTGAATACTGATTAGAAGCAGTAAAATGAGCTACCTCTGTGTAGCTGCATCTGCAGTCATTTAGGTACAAAGACCTGTTATGTTAGAGAGAGAGAGAGAGAGATGGAGATATTTCATATCGGCAGAATGTTTGTCCAGAAATTGCTTGCATCCTGTCACAGACTTTGCCTCAACCACTTGTTGCGGCTGGTTATTCTATACATTCACCACTCTCCGTTCGAAACAGAGTTGGTGAGCAATCCACTTCAAATCCAGTACTACAAGCTTGTACCGAGGTCCTCGTGTGCTGCTTGCTGGGCGCATATGCAGCAGCGTCCTCAACACGGAGTAAGCACCAGGATGTAATATCCGGTGGATCATGATGAGGTCAACCCGCAATCGACGATAAGCTAAGGTGTAAAGTTCTAGTCTCCTGCACCGGTTTTCTTACGGTGCACCTCGTAAGGTGGGGATGGGCCTGGTGGTCACATACTGTATCCGCACAATCTTTTGTCCCTCTCCCCAGGCGATGCGACAGTGTGCGGATGAGCCGTACCCTAACATTGGTCGTATTATTGTGAGGAAGAGGCGAGTGCCAATCTCTTCGGCCCAAGTGCTGAAGCTGCGCTTGAGTGCCCAAAGCATACCAAGTCCGTTTTAATAAAACTTATACCTGTTGTCCCCGGACTTAAGATCGCAGCGTCTCGATAACATTTTAGTGTGTACTCTATCTTCAGTGAACCACTTTTTGCTACAATAACGTGACAGCTGTTTGGTCCAAGTTATGTGGTATATCTCTCCACGAGATCGACAATAACTTAGGCTCCCTTCGGAAGGAGTGGTGCATGATCGGCCACATTTAAATTTTCTACTATTGGATACAGTCATATGACACATTTAAATAAATATTGGCTCACCGTTCTCTCCTGTCAGTATTTGTTAGCATCAGCCACTCCCTCAATCCGATGTGAGGCCTGAATTCACGAGCTTTTTCTCTCTAGCATAGGACGAATTTTCTGATCCCAGAAGATCCACACGTGACTACTTTGATTAGTTTGACACAACGTAGAACAGTATTGACCTCTGGAACAGCCTCTTGCGCATGACTGTAATGATGGGCCAGTTTGCGTCGGATACCGTTTTATGGCAATTGCGGGCGCTTTTTGGCATTTCTCTTAGCTAGACTGGGTTCAATGTCTAACAGAAAGTAGGGCCTTCACTTTCAAGTTATCACGCCATCAGTGGAGTCAGCTCTGCCGAATCCTCCCGAAGGAACTAAACAGCTATATTATGCTTCTCCTGATATTCGATGGCTATCCACCTGGATCGCTCTTGCTGGATTCCATTTAATTTCCTTTCGCTTGCTTTCCAGCCTTGACATTCATTTGCTTTCAGCACACAGCAATTAACCTCTCTTTACTTTGTTCTGACTTGGTTTCCCCTATATGCTCAATTCTGTTCGGTCGTTTAGCCATTTCACCCGATGCGTTGTACTTCCAACTCACTCGTACAGCTTTGATCACCACTTCATCGCCATTCACGCGGTTTTCCTCAACCAATGACATGATCACTCAGATAATGAGTTGATTGACCACTCGGATAGCTGCGACATAGAACTGTGGGAACCGGTGCTGAGTCGGTCCTGAAACGGCACTTTTCACTTCGATTGTGCTGATCCCACCTCAATTCTTGTCACTTTACAGCTCAACTTATTCAACTACCTTCTCTTCTGACATTGCGTCATGTTGCCGCATACCCAGTTGCAAAGCAAACGTGCAGACCACTCGGCCACCGGCCGACATCTCCTAGATGATTGGCAGGACTAGAGCGTTTTAATCTCCACGATCATCCTTATGCGATGGAAACGCGTCATAGTTCTGTTTTTATTTACTGTGTTTCGGACGTAAACTCACTTCAGGCGCTTACACGGCTCCGGAAAATGCTGTTTACGTATTGTCCAATGCAGTAAAGAAATTTACCTACTACAGCGTTTGTGTTAAAGCATTTGACCGAAGACGCTTGCGTTGTAATCTTCAACTCGCCGGTTCGAATCCGCGTAGGTGCATGCGATCCCACGACTACCCAATTCACGCGCAATCGATGGGGGTTACGTGGCAGCGAAGCATCAGTACCGTGTGCTGGAGTACTGCTGATACATTTCTTTCTTCTTATTTGATCAAACATGTGACACACATCTGGGAGCGACCTTTGTACACCAATAAATCTATCTACCAGTGCGTCTGAAATCATACTCGGTTCGTATCGTACTCCATTCACCATCTATTGCTTTTCTTTCCCAGACCCGTCACCAGTTTCAACTTACATGACGGTTCTACGGCGCGGGGTATTACGCAGCAGTAAGGACGGTGTTATTATATGGACCAACAACGGCCGTTTCGTAACGAAAGCACCAAAGAGCTGGTCATCTTTGATCATCGGTACTGGTAAAGTATTGCTCACATGATGTAAGGGTACCAAATGAACATCACGGAAGTCCGCCGCTTAGTGTTCTGAAAGGAACACTTGTGACGCACTGAAGTGTCTGTTAAGGCTGAACACCTTGTGTTGGTTGGATCTTCTTCCTCTTAGTCCCATTGTTCACATGCTTCGACGTACAACAAATGTCATCGCTACACCTAGTTGGGCAGAACGCGACGTGGTCAGTCATCACAAGACATACATAAGGCGACTAAAGGCTTGAGCAGACTGGTACGCACTGTGATCGTAATTAGAGTTCTCTGGATAGACCACGTTAGTGGCTCGAATTCCGTATCACCCATACATTTGGTCTGTTGCCTTGAACTGTCAGTGCTCCAATCCGGCTCACTCTATTCACCTGTCTATCGTGTGTCCCTCTTCGTTTTCTACTTGCTTTCTATCCCTTTCCCACCATTGTCTCCTATCATCATCCTAGGGACGTGAGTTATGACAACTGTGCATATCGCATCTCATCGCTGGATTCGTAGTTGTGTAAGTGAGAATAAAACAGCAGAAACTCAATATCTGCCACGAACATTAGCGAAACTCCACTGACTACATCGCAAGCGCCATGCGTTTGGGTAGTATCATCACAAAACCTCTTCTTTAACTCATTGGCTGACACCTTCGTTTGTCACAATCCAGCCACATTCATTCACTTACTGGTTCTCCACCCATTAGACTAGTTGCTGCGGAATTTGTTTTCTTTGGGACAGCGCTTCCGAGCCTCTGTCGACCAATGTTCGCATTACTGGAGTTTGTTCAACGGTATTACAACGCTTATTAGTCCACAGCTTTCACAAACCAGCTGTCGCTTATTCTTTGATCGGTATTGGTCTATCTTCCGACATGTTGGATAGCAATAGGTATATATTGTTATGCACTGTTCTCTAAACTTCGCTATTTGTGTTTGAGACTGCTGTACGCATTCCCGGAATGTGTGCTGACATAGAAACAATCTTGGCTCTGACTCTCTTACCTATTATCCCATCGGCCGTAAACGGTGATCATCTTTTGTGCGCAAACGCTTTGTGGCTGTGCGCAATCTCATTGATAGACGACTCCGGAAACGGATGTCACCAGCTACTTCTGTCACACACACACGCACACACACTTTCCTCTCTTGCACAGTGTGTCACATACCCGCTAGATGGACATTCAGCGGTGACTTAGCCTAAGTGCTGATCTGACTAACTGTTTCTAGTAGTGTGATTATCTATTGTGATTTTGTAAGAGAGGCTGATTCGGCTATTGGGCTTTTATTGCCTTTCTGTAGTAACCTGACTCCGCGAAATCGTCAATTTAATCCATCCAATCCTATTTGTCCGGGCACTGCAGTTCAGCAGATTTGCTTACCGAAACTCACCATATTTTGAAAACAAACCCGGAAAGCAGCGAACAACACTCTGTCATTAACCATGATATAACGCTGCTTGTGTTCCACTGTCACTTCCGTTTACAACGTATGACTGCGACTACTATTATAGCTAATTTCTCCAACTCCCTAACCAACTCTCTAAGCATGTCTTACTTGCCAACTGGAGAAGTTGAGATCGAACATTAAGAGATTATGTGGCTTCGTAGTTGGTTTGTGTTTAGTGAGTTAACTTACCCCTTCTGAACAAGATAACTGAAACGTGATGTGGTGATTTGTTTAACTTCTCAACTCATTAACCTATCCCGAGTTGTACTTTGGAGTACCTTGCGTACCAGTGTGCCCAGGACAGATAATCTCAGTGCCCTATTCCTCCGAATAAATGACTGTAGTTGGAATGCCTGCCATTTCTGCTTTGCGCGCGTAGGCAGCGTAAATTCTGAGATTTAATGCGGTATCATTCCTCTGCGCTGTTCCAGTTTCTCTCGCGTCTCGAGTGTTCAAGGCTGGTGTGAGCATTTTCACGCAACAATCGAGGTCACTGTAATGGATATGTTCATGAAGGATAGTCGCACCACTACCACAGGCGCAACAGTCACACTGGCTATACCAATGTTGTTGCCTCCCATTCTAAAGTACTAACTCACTTTGGAATCTGAGTCGCATATGCCAACAGAGCAACCAGCCTTTCACCTTGTGTAGAGCCGCATACATCTGTTTCACTGCGATAGGTGCTACAACGGTACTTCATCTATCACAGGACAACTACACGCCGAAGATGCGGATTATGTGGTAATCGGCACTGGACTATGAGCCGGGAAGCCAAAGCTTTCTCATGCTGCCGGTGTCTTGTATTCCTGTTCCTGGGTGTGTACTCCTCAACTCCAAGCAGGGACTGGGTGAGAACAAGCGTTACCTGTCTACCGACCCGAAATATGGCGCGAACTTTGGAAGACATGTTATAAACTCTGACGCGGATGCCTACGGCACTGACCTTTTCCCTTCCCATCTAAGGCCCAACAATTGACTCACTGTTTGAACACACTTTTTACGAGGGGCGTACAGTCCCATTGCAAATTTTTGTCCAGATTGAAAGTTGTTTAACTCTGTGCTCCATGCATCTATTTTGTTTCAGTACGGTGACCATTTTTCTTATCTTTATTACTACGGAAGAATTTAAACACTTTACTCTTCGATGCAAACTATTTCACTTACACACCTCTTGGGTAGCACTGAACTGGCGCCCATAGCCGCTGTTTTGCCTACTGCTACTTATTAAAGTAGATATATTCACTTTACACCTGGTTCTTTGCCAGTGCTGCCAGCAAAGCCTCCAAACCTGCATCGGCGGGCTTTCCCAGGTTACTAGCTGGTGACTTATGTCTTCTCGTCACCAGCGATGTTCGCAGTGTTCGTATTCTATGTTCCTATGAACTACCGACTTGTGTACACAATGCAGGTCGCACATCATCCTACCAACTGCTGTTTCCTTCGTTGACTCCCACACTTTTGGATCGTTCCGACCCTCTGGAATTTCAAGAGCGCAAGAACAAGCAACAATTCAACGGATTAATCTGAATTCACGTATTCTCATCAGCCGTTTACATACAGTGGGTGGAAGCTTCAAACGGTTCGAAGTGACAGGTCGATACCAGAAGTCGATGGGTAGTCATGTCAACGAAGCTGTCGCGCTCTACCAAGGCAAAGCAAGATTGACCATAAACTCAAGCTGTTTGCTTAGGTTATGCATAAAAGACCGGATGGACAAACTAACACACAACATATGCGCCACTGCGGCCGGCTGTTCGCCATAACAGCAAATGTGTCCAACCAAACGTGTTCATCCTCCTTAGGACCCCAACTAGGCAGTCGGAATTCACCAACCGACGCTAACTTCGAAGTGGGGGTTTTCATTTCCCTGGACCAAGTCATCGCTTGGCGTCCCCTCCGCTTCTTTCATCCAGACCGCCGGCGCGCAAACAACGCACGATACTGGAGTCGATGGGCTGGCATGCGCAACACGCGGTCCAGCCGTCGGAGCCTAGTGCGTGATACAATGGTACTGAGTGGTTCTGTCACTCTTCCTGCATCAAATACGCGACGCCGAACATGTTCATTGCTCACGCGGTGCTGCTGTCAGACTTGACTTAAGCTGCGAAGGCGGCGATGATCGAACGTGACCAGCCTCCTTATGTCTGTCGACCTGATGTGCTAGGTTTCACAACCGTATAACTGGGTTGAACGGACGGTCGCATTATAAACTCTGCCCTTCAGGGCGAGCGTGATGTCGCATCTGCGTCACAGGTGGCGGAGATTGGCAAAAGCACTTCGAGCTTTTGCTATATGGTTCGCAATCTCATCTTCGATCCCACGGGCACTAATATTGCTTCCCATGTACTTGAATTCCTGAACGAGTTCTAGCTGATCACCACCAAGAGTCAGCGCAGGGATGGGTTCCTGCCAATCTTTGCGAAGCACTTTGCGTTTCGATGGAGCAAAGCATAGCTCAAAGCGATTGACAGCCAGTGCGGTCGGTCCAGTGCTGCTTGACACGTTTTGGAGCTGTCACAGATGAGGGTAATATCGTCGGCATACTCAAGAAATCTCACACCAGAAAGTAGCTCCACAGCTTCTAGGTCGTGTCCAGCGAACACTGTTTCCATGGTTTCGTGACTAGCGAAGTTAGAGGGGTAAGGTGACAGCGGATAACCGTCTTACACCGCTAGAAATATTGAAGGACGGCGACAGTTTGCCATGAACCCCCTACTTGGATAAAAGTCGTTTTGTTGCATCAATAGCAGGCTACCAATAGTGCCAACATACTACAAAACCTACTTTGGCGCACTTTATCTTATTCTTGTCCTCCGCGCATGCGCGATTGGGTGTCTCGTGGATCCGAGAATATGCGTTTTTATTACGTAGCTCCCGCCCTGACGGCTATCTTTACCGTTGTGACCGATGGATCTTAATTTGGCATGTTTTCACCGTCATTTATGCCACTGTTCTTTTGGACCAAAGACTAGTCCGTCAAATCAGCCTGATGTTTCAGTTTACTTTTGTTTTTCACTGTCGTTTTAGAAAGAACCAGTGTAAGTGCTTTCATCTGTGTTACCCTGTCGAAAGTCTTGGGTTTTTACATTGTACTTGTTTCTGCGGTGGAGTGGCATGTCTTAGTTAATCCTAATCCCTACAAATTGGGTTTCCGAATAACCTGTCACAAGTGATGTGTGGGCACACAATCTAACTTTCAAAGCGTAACAATTGCAATAATTTTTAAATTTTATAACGCGTATTTGCCGCTTATTTTCTCGTTAATAAATTTGCGGTCGTCGTAGTCTCGTTATTCCATTAAAAGATGGCTCCAGATTCAGTTCTTCACGTCTTTTCCCATACAGCGCATACGGCCCCCGTTAACAAGGTCAGCTGTCATCCAAACGGTCACTTTCTCTTATCAGCTTCCGATGACGGGAGTTTAAAAGTGTTTGACCTTTTGGAAGGAAGACCACTCTACACCCTCCAAGGTCATAACGGACCGATTATTGCCGCTGCTTTTTCTGCTTCCGGTGATCACTTTGCTTCTGGTGGAAATGATGAGCAGGTAAAGTTGTTTATCCTTCATTTTCACATTGTGTTGCTCCAGTTGAGTTGCACCTCCATCGTCTTACGTTGGCGAAATCCAAACGCACGGCCTAGCTGGAAATTGCTCAGGAGCGATGTAGTATGTTGAATGGCTTGTCTCCACCTTTTGAAAGACAGCTGTGGGTCAGCTTTTAGCACCAGATACTTTCCTGCTACCTAGGGTTCTGGATTCATTCTCCTCTGCGTCCTATTTTATCCCGGATCGCCGCATCAGAATGGGTTTACGTCCAAAGTTAAGTGTATTAAGCTGACCACATTTGTTAACTACCTGTTAGGTCTGTCGCTATTCCTCGCAAGTTCCCGTCTCCTGCTCAGTTGCCACAACATCCCGTCACCATTCCCAAATGCGCTTGTATTTCCTACCAACGCTTCTCCGGCTTAACCTCACTTCGCTCTAGTATCGTTTCCCGAATCGCTTGCAGCGCCTTCCCTTCTGTAACCATATTTAGAAGTACCATACTCACTTCAAGGAAGTAATTCGAACCCGGTTTTTTTGCCCTTTTTCACTATACATGTAAAGCTATGTTGATATTCGAAACATGCTAAGTACTGGGGACAGTCTATCGTACACTACTCCCGTGGAATCAAATCAAGCAGGTCCACTCAATTACCATCTGGCGAAAATGTTTCAGTTTTGTCATCGAATCCCCGTTTTATGACGGCGATTTGCTTCTCTGGCCTGTCTTTTTATTCTCTTGTGCATGTACACCATAGATCACAGTTACTCTGGACCATGTACGGGGTTATCTGTGTTTCCCAGAATCCGAGTAGATGGCTCCCTGGTTTGAGCATTCTCGGATTGAACATGTCTGAGGTTTGACTTGGTATTCTGTGGATTCAAACTGCCTGAACCCCGCGTTTTGCTCTTTACTATCCATCTTACTAGTTTCCTTTCCTGAACCAAGAGTGCTGTCTGCTCACTGACTGCGATCATCATTATTATCAACAAGTCAAGTCAAGTCAAAGTAAGCTTTATGAACCCTAATGGGTTCATTTTCATCATTTACACCACCACTGTGGATACCTGGATCATAATATCAATATACAAGCTTGGGAAGAAGAAATGAGAAAGTGCACAACTGTTACTCCAACAACCGCTCGCTGGGCCAACCAGAAAATGTGAGAGATAAGGCAAACCAGTATTACGATACGATGACGTGCGAGAGAATAAAATTCTGAATTTCGTACGAGTAGAAGAGAAAGAGAGCGTTTTGGAAACATCATTGTTCACTGGATGAAATCAATCAGTACCCTAGAAGATCAATCATTGCATGTATGCACCAAGATGTCTAGAAATGATCAAATCAGCTAAAGAATCTCAAGACAAGCCGCTGCATGTAGAAATATGTTTTATAGAGTGCACCAATAAGAAGTGATCTTGCTGAAGCAGTCCAGGGAAAATGACAGGAGAGCAGTATAACCGATGGGGAATAATGTAAGTGTTCACAAACCTGAATCTTAAACCATCACGTACTGAAAGAACCTTAAGTCTGAGGGCATAAAAAGAACGTTTTCTAATTTTTTGAAAAGTTTCACAGACATGCGTGAACCAAGAAAGGTTTTGGGACAAAAGAACACCGAGGTGCTTGACGGTGGAAGAGCTGTGTATGGGATTTTCATTCACAGTAACGATGGGAGAGAAATCTATGACGGACTGCAACTTATCGCCACGGAGAAAAGCAAGTATTACATCACTGCATTAGAAGCATTAAGCGTAAGAGATCTGGATGGAGACTATTTCACCAGATCAACATCTTAGAAAACACTTGGAACCGCTTGAGAACTCGTGTTTTCAGAAAGGTTTGAAAACAACCGGTTGGTATAGTTTGTGGGCAACGATTCGCTTTTGACACAAAAGCGCCGTCAGACCGAGTGAACCAGTCGAGGATTAGTATAGCACTTATAGCGAACTGGGATGATAATCGCGACGAATGGGATATAGGCAGAAGATCAGTCGCGTTACAGGTCAACACATCACTCAAAATAGTGCATGGAACGGTCACAACTGGTTTGCGTTACAAGGTCACACCCTATTAACCATGGGTGCGGGGATAATGTGATGTTCATTTTCTGCCCTGGATCCATCCGCCGGCGCTCCTCTGACTGGTCGCGTTAACACAGCTCGCCACACACTCGAAAGCTCTTCCCCGTCCATTCTGTTCAAATAGTTGTTCACTTTGCTAATCCTAACCGCCTCAGCAGTCAACCTCTGGGGAGTTGATCGCAACCACTTTAAAACGATTTTGACGTTATCCAAGTCGATCTCATGCCATTTATCTATCGCGTGCACCGCTACTGCCGAGTTCCTTAGTAGAGCCATATATTCAAGCTCGTTTCTCGGTAGCCGTGTTATGCGTCTCTTATGTTCTGCTATCCTTGTACGTAGCTCTCTCGCCACATCTTCCAACCCTCGTTGAAGGGATGTGGCGTGTGACGGCTGTCTGAGTGAGTCTAGATGTGACGAATTTCTACCAATACCATTCAACTCCCCCTACTACTCTTCTGTAATCCTGGCTAGGGGGGCCATACATCGCAGCACAACATCTTCAGCATATTTTCACCCTATAAACGGGGGTTGTATAGGGAGAGGCTCAACATACAAGGAAAATAGAAAAAATAGGATCGCTCCCTGCGGAGACAGGAGAGGAGGGCAGATGGTTTCTTACCGTTCAACTTGGTTGAGTGAGTACGATCCATAAAATATTCACGTAACAGATTACACGCACCCAGATGAACTCCATTTCCGGATGACAGGTTTAGCAACATTGACCTATCCAGGCTTCCAAAGGCGTTTGAACAATCCAGGAAGAGAAGCCGCACGGATTTACGTTTCTGATCTAATGGAGAGGCTATCGAATGAACAAGATATGCCACTGCATCCAATGTGGAGTCCTGAGGTCTATACGCAAACTGGTAGATATCGTCTTCTGGAGCGTCAGAAAAAATTCGCGGAATTAACAGTTTTTCGAAAACTTTTAAGAGCACAGATGTACATGCAATCGGACAATGCTTTTGAGATCCCTTTTCTGCTGCTGAAGTTATACTGGCCGTTCTCCAAATGTCCAGGATCACACCCGTAGTGAGGCATTTGTTAAAGAGATCTGTTAAAGGCAGTGTAAGAGAATCAGCACACTCCTTCAAAGCTAATGGTGACAGAGCATCCGGACCACAAGCTTTGTTTGCGTTTAATCTTTTGAGTTCTTTGTGAATGTTGCTTTGATCGAATGGCCAGCTGCACTTGAGCTTAATGAGGCGGAACTAAACTCCGAATTCAGTTTATCCACATCCATTTCACCGCTCTGGCTGAAAACGCTCTTACCACAGAGCTGACTCAGAAGCCTCCCTAGATCACCACAGTTAAAGTTGCCTAGAACAGCTTCCACTTATAATTGGTTGTCCTTTTATCGCGAATTTAATGGCTGTGGTTAGGCTTTTGACACGGGCAGCATTCTTGCACTTGTAAGCCCATTCTTTCATCCTTCGAAGTCGCTTTAGTAGTGGTGATGACAACCGATCTGCTCTTAGATAGATCGTTTCGACAGGGCAACACATGTCAAAGCAATATTCGATGTGGTCCGTAAGATGGTCAGGTTCAAGCGACAAGTCCTCGTCGTTGAAGACCAACAAAATCAGTCAAAAACAGTGTGTATAGAGCCTTGTGATTTTTCCATGGAACAATTTCGCCGTTTGATAATCTTGTAAGGATGTCTGGTCAGCATTAAAAAGTTAGACATACTGTATAAATAACTAAATAGATGTTTTATTCATGGCAGTGCGTGGCACCCCTGCGAAGGCGTGATCATAACAATAGAAACAGGTATTAGAAATCCGTGAGCATATTTGTAGCTGGGGGTGCGGATGAGGATATGCGGGTGTTCTCCGAGCTGATTGATGATCGGTAATCGTATAAAAATATAGCAAGTTAACCAGTTACATACCGGCTTTGTGTGTCTGTACATATGTAATTATATGTGTTACTTTTCCCTATGCTGCGGCTGATTTTACATTAATGATGCTTCCTCACCACAGTTGGGCTAAATCAACTTAAACTAACTCTTTTTAGGCTGGATATATTTCATTCCACTTTATTTGGTTTTTTCTGCCTACCTGAATAATCTTCTATCAACTGGCTACGTTGGTTACACTAATTGCGTTTATCTTCGGTAACTTTGTTGCGTTTGTAGCATTTTTAAGTAACTTGTGGACATTTTCTATTTATCGCGCATTCGTTACTAACCAACTTACTTCATATGGTAATTTAGCGAATAGTTAGGCCACCATATCAGTATGTGTTATTTGATTTATTTTGTTTCATCTTTCGTTTAAAGTGAATGGCAGTTGCTTGATATCCCCGGTGTGGCTGCGCTTGATGTGCATGTTGACAAGGTGCCTACCTGTCTATTACTCACTACCTCGTCCATACTGGTTCCAGGAGACAGTTGATCGTTGCTGGAGGATGCGGAGTGTACGGTCATTGTGACCGTGTGGGTGGTACAGCGCAAGCCACCCATAGTCCCTCTGTAGGCGCAGGCGTCCTGTGGCTGGCCACTGACAGGAAAATCCGAAACCGGATGCCGCCAACCATATATGTTAGTTGCCCCATGCTGAGGCTGGTGTTGCATTCATGATGCTTCCCCATCACAGTTGGGCTAAACCAACTTAAACTAGCTCTTTTTAAGCTAGTCAATTTCATTCCACCTTATTTGGTTTTTTCTGCATACCGAAATAATCTTCTGTTAACTCGCACTCGGTGCTTATGCTAGTTATGGTTATCTTCGTTAACTTTATCGCGTTTGTGGCATTTTTTGAATAACGTCCATTTTGTCCATTTTGTACTTATATCGGATTCGTTGCTAACCAACGTACTTCATATGCTAATTTAGCGAAGAGTTATGTTGGCATAGCCGTATGCTGTAGCAGATATATTCTGATTGATATTGTCATTTCAAGTGATTGGCTGTTGTCTGACATCCCCGGTGTGGCTGCGCTTGATGCGAGTGTTGGTAAGGTGCCTACCTGCCTTTTACCCACCATGTCCTCGATAATGGCTCCAGAAGACAGTTGGTCGTTGCTGGAGGGGACGGGGTG